CAATTATTGTTTTGTTATATATAGTGATGGAAAATGTGCTGCCCGTTATGTATAAGATCTACCGGCTTTTAATATTTAGGTATCGTGGAGGCTCACCATAGACAAAATTCGTGTGTGTTGTTCAATTTAAATAATCAGTGAATACGTATTCCCGATTTGTTCCTGTCTTATTGCCACACGGATCTAGTTAGTGGAGATCGTTATGATCGATGATCACCCCATCACACCTTTGCATTATTTATTTGACGAAATCAGCGTAAAATGTTACTGAGATCATCCTCATCGTCCTCACATACAAATAACAGAAGTTGATGATTAGTTTTTAACGATGAATCCCCGAGTCTGTGATAATTTGCATAAAATTTGCATATGAACATCAAATAATAATCAGAACAACCTCGATGCCATGAGGTAAAATATTGATTATGTTTACAGCACCTCAACACTATATGTTTTCATACGTCCTCGCCATCACCATGGTTTCAGCAATCGTATATGATATTAATGTTATGTTTACCCAAAACCGATCAGGGTATTATTCGAAGGAGCCGGCTTTACTAAATGAGCCAAAGTGAATTAGAATCTTTTCTCTAAAAATCGTATACAATAATGAGGCGTGCGACCCAAGGTATTTCAAAACTCATCAACTTTGTGTTACACCTCACATGGGGTAATATAGTGTTTTCGAGTCTTTAGCAACATAAGTCACATGGGTCTAATTGGTATTACCATCCTGACACGGGGAAGTAGCCAACATCCTTCATATAGGATAGTACGTATTTTCAGAAACATAAGTTCAGTATGATTCAATTATTTCGTATGTGGGACAGAATATCATCTAGCCATCGGCGTTGTGTTTTTTTCAATGCAAAAACTGTAACACGTTTTCAGCATAGCGTCTCTTTCATCAGAAATTGACGCTGTTCTAGAATCGACATTGATGTGTACGACTCGTGCAAAACACATTTAATGAAGTCACGTCCCTAACGTCTGTAAACACAGAGAGTATGTTTTCCAATGACAAGAATTGTTACATGTTTAAAAAAGACTACATCTTGTTCCCGATGGCGATATATATTACGCTAAACTTTAAATGGCATTGATGGTGGTATGTGTCAAAAACATGCGTATATTGTGAGGTTTCATTGAAGTCATCGTTGAGTGGTCATAATTACAGAGCAACACAAACGTAGTATTGATTAAATTTTGTAAGTGGTCATTTCCCGGGCATGTATTGGTTACCTGGTGCCTTAACGTCTAGTTTAGGTTAATATGTTTTTGTTTTGTTACCTGTTTTAACTTATGACAAGTTGATACACGCATATTGGTCATTCCCGTATGACAGGCTTAATCATTGTTAAGTTTAGACAGCAGAAGAAGACGACACACTTATAAGACATCTTCGCATCTCAAAGTTTTACCACGATGACCATGCGTACTGTGTTATTAGTAGTTCACTGAAATAGTGTATGAAGCGTTAGGAGTCCAACTTTATGCCCTGACGAGGTATTATACTATTTAGTTAATGGTGCGTGTTCTTGTACTTCGTTGATATGCGTTGATTGATCTAGTTCAACATACAATATATACGAATTTACATAATGCAATTCGTTT